AGTGCAGAGCTCTCGGGAAGCTCTTGGGGCAATTCCATGCATGATCCAAGTCTAAACATTTCCACCAGCAGCTCAGAGATCAGACCTGAAGTAAAGGAAGGCCAGCAGCATCCCTCATCGCCAGCAGCACGCCAGCAGCACGCCAGCAGCACGCCAGCAGCACGCCAGCACCCAACATCCACCAACTGGGGCTCAAAGCTGAGTCCCTGATCTGTAGGGTAAATGTTGATGAGTTGAGGAAGACTGGACTTGCCAACCTAGGGCATTCGTTGCTTGACATGAAAGGCGTAAAAAACAGGGTATATGGACAGACCCTTACCCTGAAAACCACTTCACAGCACACAAGCTTCATCATGTTCCATACACGTGTGCACATGATCTGGAAAAACCTTAACTTGCACATACATTATCTGTGTAAAGAAAAACTACAATGCTTAGTTCTCTGGTCTTTAGCCCAGGACCTTGTGAAATCAGCCCATTTTGAAAACTGGTCCCTACTCAAGTACCTAATCCCATACAAACAAACGAAGCTGCTGTCCAGCCAAGGTAACCCATGTGGGTACACAGGAAGACGTACATGTATCCCCAAGACCAATTTTACCTTTTTAGGTAAAGAGGAGAAATCAGAGCGTCTTGACAAAGTGTTGTCTGCATTTTCATATTCTTCACAAGATGTTATTTACAGAACCACCTACATTCCACAGTCCCATAGGCCCCACTGCTGGCAGGCAGGTTTAACGTATCCAACTTTGCACCAAGGTGTCTATGGCACCTACGGCCCAGAGGGACACAACGGGGCCCAGGGGGGAGGAGCTCGTGCCCAGGGTCCCCCAACTGGCAGAGTCAGAGTCAAAGCCATGCCATTTCCAAATTTTCTGACGCCAGGAAGGAGAGTCCCCCCAACACTGGCTAAGATTCGAGGAAAGGGCACCCTGAAGTGAACTGGCATGGCCAACTTCAATTTCTTTGAAGCTGCAGAACAGATCCCACCTAAAGAGTCACTGCTCACAGTGACCACAGCAACTCACAGCACTAGACAAGACCTGGAGGGGGGCAGCAAGCAGGTTTGTGGTAATGGAAGAACGTCTCAGAAAAGCTTACACACACCACCTGGAGAATGCCACTGAACTGTACTTCTATGAACCGCTGAATTGGCATATTTTATGCAGCGTATATCCTCAATAGGAACAAAATAAAGCAAAAAAAAAAAAAAACTGCTACACTAACTGCTAATCATGGAAACCGGGGACCCCCATCCAGATGACGTCTCCAGTCACAAGTATCACCAAGTACAGTGAGATGGAGGAAGAACTGTGGAGCTGAATTCTTACAAGCTCGTCTTGATTTTCGTTATCTTTTTAAAGCACTTAAGTGAAGACAAAGAAAGTGAGCAGCCACCAGGAACTTGGGTTAGCATCCACAGAACTTTCTCAGTCTTGTTGGGGTTCCCCTGAAAATTCTCCTGCTTCGATTTTCACCCCACCATACGCATCTGAATAGCTGGGGGTGCCTCTGTCCTCAGATACCATCCACATGAAAGTCCTAGGATTCTAGCTTGGAGTCTGGAAACCAGCCCTACAGGGGAAAGTCAACCTAGCTGAATAGCAAGCTTACCAGCCTCTCAAGGGAGGGGAATAGGCCCACATCCACCTCATCAGAACCACCACCTTCCACTAACTACAACTGGCGAATCTTACATTTTCCTCTGAAGACAAGCAAGGGTAACAGCTTTCATGTCTCATGCCAAGGGCCGCCAGGTAGCTGTGAAAATTCCCAATCTCATCATAACTAGGGCGAATCAAATCATCAATCTGATGGATGCAAAACCAGATTCAATGAGATGAAATCAGCTGACAGACTCACAACACCTCAGCAACTCCAGGTTTGTGTACCAAACATGGAATGGTTCGGGCCTTTCTCATGTCCTAAAATCTCACAGCACGTTCACTTTCACTGTAACCTCAAGTTGACCGCTCTTCCAGCCCAGCCCCTGGCTGTTTCCTTTTCCTACAGAAGGAAGTTAGCCCCTGCTTTGTGTGGCATGAAAACCTCAAGGCCAAAAGCCATCAATACTCAATCAAGTTTGAGTCCCAATAGCCCTGAAAAAGACAAAAAAAAAAGTAGATGATTAGTTCTTTTTCAAAAGGTCTAACTGCATTTGGTTATATCCAAATGCTATTCACACAGACCTAATAACCAAAAAACAAAACTGCAGACAAGCTCCATCATTTGTTGGGTTTTTTTTTTTAATTATTTATTAGCTTTATGATTTAAGCTGTGTACTACTACTCCAGTTGGGTAAACCACATTAAAGAGTTTGACTTCAGGTCTTTAGATTCAGCCAATGTTTTCCATGTCTTTTGCTCCAGAATTGTTGAACATTATAATGAAGTTTGTAAAATGTTCACCATGCTCAGAGGAACTGAACCCACTCATGCCAAGTTCAGGCAAAAAGAATCGAATGAGATGTGTTTCCTATTGAGGTTAAGACTCAAGCTTATGGTAAAGAGAGGTTCTGTTCCCTTCAACAGTTCCTCCAAGTTTACAAATTCAGCCTACTCAGTGTTCAAGACACTGTCAAAGTTAACTTAAGAAGTACCCCACACACGGGCAGTCTTCCATTAATTAAATTTGCTCTAAACTGATACAAGAAACATTTCCAAAGTCTAGCTATCAGACCCAAAGTTTCCTATTTCCTTTTCTCCTGGTGGGGTCTTAGGGTTATTTTGCCTTTCAACAGACCAATGAACAGAGGAGAAGGGGGGTGGGGTTGCATTTGAGATTAAATTGCAATGGAAAAAAGTAACGAATACTAAAGTTGTTTAAAAGTTTAATGGCGCCAATAAGGCATATAAGTTGTGTTCTGGCAGACATTAAGACCTACTTTCTCTTACCAAATGGCACACGTTTTATCAAAATTTGACAACTGAGAGTAAAGGGTACTGGAAGTTTTAGAGCACCAATTTAAACAAAAACAAGGAAAAAAATGAGTCATTCAACTTGGAAAGAGGAACTAAACCAAGTATAAAGGGAAGATTCAATGTTCGGCATCCTTTGGGAATGGGGGCCCTGGCCACTCAGAAGGTAACATCTCATACCACCTAATCCCAACCCCAAACCTAGCTTTTTACAAGGAGCAAAAACCCAAGAGAGCTCCAAATACATGACTTGGTATACTCCAAAGGGAAGACGACTGAGAATATTCCTAACACATAGACTTGCCCGCTTTCAGGGAAAATATGACAGATTGCTATAATTCTTGTTATGACAGTCAAACAAATAATGATTCACTTTTGCAAAAATGGAGAAATACCTCAACTTCTGTTCCTAGTTTTAGTATGGAATTTGCTTCTTAAAACAAGGGCTACAGCTATTATGAATACAGAACTTCAACGCACACTTTTCTAACATCCCCATTCACATCCCCATCCAGTCAGTGAATATTATGGTTAACTTAGCAACGTGTCTTCACAGAAAAGTATTATTAAATGGTTGCAGAAATTGCAAACTTTAACAAAGTGCTGAGTAATTACCAGAAAAACCCTTACACTGATTTGTAGTGGTCTTTTAAAGGATTAAAAACAGGAAGTAACTGATACTGGACTACAAGTTTTCAAGGAAGCAGTTTCACTGTCCTACTGGATATATAATAGGAGAGAATAAATTACAGTACCTGGCAGACTGACATCAGTTCTTCATCTAGCGAAGACTACCACTCAGTTCAAGAAATTAGAAACGAAGAGGAAGCATGCTCTAAAACATTGTGTTACAAGAGGTCTTAATATTTACTCAAAAGAGGAATCCGCTGCCAATGTTTCCGTTCCTTCCACCTAATGTGTGCAGACCCTTCACGTGACTCCAGCTTTTTAAAAGTGAGATTCCACATGGGGCTTTTTAGGGGAAGGGAAGGGAAGGGGATGGCGAAAGGTGGATTTGGCTACTGGAGTTGTGATGACATTATTAGCAGATACAACCAATCTTATCTTCCACCCATTCCAACAGGAACTGCACAAAGTAGGGCACTTGGGAGGAAAATCAATGATGACCAAGACACACAAAACTATCCTGGTCCCCCACACCATGTCGCCCTCATTCACACCGAGCACCCCCAAAGGAAGCATGTTCTCAAAGTGCACCACCACCACCCCACCCCCACCCCGAAAGGAAACACGTTCTCAAAGTGCATGAACGAGCCCTGTAGGTCACCCTGAGCAGAGTCTCCATATGGGACACTTACCATCAGGGTGGAAAAGAAGTGCCTATCTTCACACTTGAGAATTGGGAGCCTACAGAGGGATCAGGGGGCAGCTTAGCAAGACAGCTACATATACACACACACACACACACACACACACACTGATTCCAGGAACGTTCTGTGTATTGATTCAATGGGAAGTATTAATTGCATGACCAGCACAGCACCTCTTTACACAATCACCAGAATTAGGAACTGCTTTGAAAACGAAAAACAGGGCACGTCCAATAGTTTGCTGTTGCACGCTGTAAGAGATTTGAGGGGAAGCAGGTGTGTGGTACAGTACTGCTGCTACAAAAAGAAAAGACAAATGGAAGCCTGCAGATTTGACAAGGAAGCCAAATCATGGTTCTTAAGACCATTTTTAGGAGACTGGCAATACTGTTGAAGCAAAATACTTAACACAACAGCAGGAAATGAAGGACAAAAAAAAAAGCAATCTATAACCAAATAAAACATCTGATATTTCCTTTCCCCTTTGAGAATAAATACGGTTAAGGTCACTTTTTTAGCCTTGGAACGGATATATGTTTGCCTATGATGATCTTGCTAACGACTACACAACATCTGATGTCCTCTGCTAGGATTATAGTTTTCGGAAAGCCAGTTACCGGAGGCATCTACCGTAAATACCTAGAACTTCCTTATGGCAACCGCTATAGAATTCACGTGTCTTAAACAGTGAACAAGGAACGATGGCCTCATGTCTCCTTTGCAATAATAGTATATGTTGAGGATCAAGTGGCTTTCAAGCAGCATGGTGGGTGTGGAAAATGTTTGCAGTCTAGATGATTCTGTTGCGTTTATGGGTTGGTGAGTCTGTAATGACATCGCCACACTGGGCTGAGGTACGCTTTCTAGTTCCACCATTGTCCAAGTGGAGTGCCATTTCTTCTGATATGAAAGTGTTCAAATCGACATCATGGAGTCCATTTCTCCTTCGACTAGTATTCGATCCACTGCTTACATGCGTAGGAGAGCCTGGGGTACTCGAACGCACGCTTATACTAGCCATTGCACCACTAAGACCTAGGAAGAAGAAAAGAGGTTTTAGAGTTGCTCAGTTATTCATCCCTTTTTGAACGCAACCCACTTTACTCTCCAAGTCGTTTCAGCGCTGTCAAAAGATGCTGCCTACTCTCCTCAGAAGGGCCATCGGGGAAGCAGGCAAGGTTTAGTCTGTGAAACCAAACCGTCTTTGCCCTGTCACGTGAGCTGTTCTATTGGCAGTATTACCAATATTCACCACGTGCTAACTACGATGTTTATTGTGTGCACCAGCTACAATAGGAGAACCCCTTCTTCCATTTTACTTCGTTGGTACTGTATGGGATTTCTAGATGAAGAGATGAAATGCCTGCTATAAACAGAACATTTGGGTTATCCAAGGCTCCATTCCAAGGAGGGAGGGGCATGTGTATATACAGGAGACCAACAATCATTTCCAGACTTAACTGGGCTTGTTCCAATGTCCCTGTCTAGATTAGGTGACCATGTCAAATTCCTCATCCAAAATCTTAAACTACTGAGAGCCCAAACTATGCCCAGATGTAGTTGTTTCTAAAAACGGTGATTTAAACTCCAGCTCTACAGCCGGCCCACCCCCACAACCCCATCCCAAAAAAGGGGTGCCAGAACAAGGGCAAAGTGGGTTGGACCTACTGGGCTGCATGACCACTAGGTCTGGACTCCGTGTACTTGATAGAGCAAACCTAGGACAACCCCACTCTGTTGTCTAGAATCCTTGTGAGAAGGGGAAGAGTGACAGGGTGGGGGTGGGGACGATCCTGCTGCTTTGCTTTCAAGGCTAAGTTATTCAATCCAGCATGTGTCCAGCCCTCCTCATTTCCTGGACTCCTGAATGGTTAAAAGTGCCTAGCCTAAACTCCCCTCCTAAATGTGCAGGTGACCTGAGACCACCTGAGAAAGACGTGACAGACCTAGAAAACCCAACTAGCACATTAAAGGAAGAGCTGTACATCAGCCACCTATCAACTCCACCTGGAGACACTAACCTCACACAGTGCTGGCTTTGGCTTTGGCTTTGACAAGTTATATCAATGCTGCTAAAGAATGGATGATTTATGTAGGAGAATTTTCAAGTTAGTTTACAGGCTTTGACTTGGAGGGAACCAACTGGTCCTAAAATGCACTAATTTGGGGCTCTGTAACACATGGTTTAAATTTAAATGTCAACCAGAAGCAAGGCTCTGTTTCCTAAACACATACACACCCGACTTTGATGATGCTCCCTACAAATATTCCACAGACAACAAATATTTTCAAATCCATGGTCCCAGCCACTTTTTCTCAATGTTCTAATAGCTCACACCCTTCTCAACTACACTCAACTCCCTATGTTCCAGGTTCCTAGGAATCTTCTAGGAATCCTGGTGTGGCACTGTAAGATAAGCGATGGAACACATGGTTGGTTTGAACTTGAAGCTCAGCACCAGTCACTCCTTGGAGTTGGTGTAAGAGAAATCGAATCAATGGCACCCAACATTCATCTTCTAAACAAATCCAACCTTACTGCTCTTCCTACAGGAGACAGGCAAATCCTCCAGGCACTCAGGTGGCCAGAGGAATGAAATCTTGTCCATGACTAGAGCTCTAAACCTTTTAACACTAGAACCAGGTAAAACAACGAAGGCACTGATGTTGAAGTACTTTCTGTGCAGGGCACTACACATTAAGTACCTTCCATTTAATCTCCCAAATAGCCCTATGACACTCCATATTGCAGGTGAGAAATCTCCTCCCCTACTGAACCAGGTGGGTGAGACTCAACCACAAGTAGAATCCATTCCCCTAGTCACCTTGTTGGATGACCTGGTGTGGCACTGTAGGATAAACACTGGACTGCCAACCACAAGGTCACCAGTTCAAACCCACCAGCCACTCCTCGAAACCCATAGCAACAGGGTTTGCTATGAGTCAAAACCAACTTGATAGCACTTTAACATTCATTTTAATTTACTGCTTCCTCAAAGCTTCAGTTATTTTAGTAATAAGTAGCTTTAAGGTCCACCTGGCTCTGAACTACTACCCTCCCCCACTTCCTGATCTCTTCACCTATAACAGATCCAAGGCAATAGATACTAAGTGCTTAGTAACCATGGCTGCCAATTCTTCCCACAGGCCCACTGGCTGGCTCCTCCAGTACCTGCACCTCCAGGTATTCCTGCTTCTCCAGCCCACCAGCTCCCTCTCTTCCTTCCTCAAGTCACCTGCCTCTACAGTCATCTCTTACCCTAGGCAAGACAGTGTCACCCAAGGTAAGTCCCTCAGCAATTCCTTTAATCTACAAGCATCAGTCCTTTCCCAATCCTGTACATGTCTCCTAGGGACTCCTCCACGTGTCTAGCTGCCAACTGGCTTCTTCAAATGCTCCCCTGCCAAAAGGAACCGAGCTTCACCACTCCCGGTACACACAGGTTGGGCAATGGGCAGAAATAAAGAACCGTCTTGGACCAACGGTACACAACACACTGCAACCCATCTTTTCCCCTCCTGTAGACAGTGTCTACCTAAAGAACCAAACACAGTGCCTGGCAACGTCACACCCACCAAATTCTAGGGTGGGGGTGCTCCAAAGTCCTTCCCCACAATTTGAACTCCAAAGCTCAGCTGGTGAATGTTTATATTCACCTCTCCAATGCCTTGAAATAAACCCAGCCAAGCCAGCTTACTTTACATTTCAATTACCTTCCAGTTGAAACCTTCATTCCCAATTTTTTTTTTTTTTTTTTCCCTTCTCCACTAAATATAGCCATGATACTTTAAGTCATGCCTATTTTCCTTCCCTAATCTCAAAGCCTGGTAGCGTAGTGGTTACGAATCGGGCTGCCAACCTTAAGGTCAGCGGTTCGAAACTACCAGCTGCACCGCGGGAGAAAGATGAGGCTTTCTACTCCCGTAAAGATTTACACCCTCGGAAACCCTGTACAGGGTCGCTATGGGTCGAAAACGACTAGATGGCACATAACAACAACAACAATCTCAAAGCCCAAGGAGCCCTGGTGGCGTAGTGGTTACGAAGCGGGCTGCTAATCTCAGGGTCAGCAGTCCGAAACTACCAGCTATTCCGCTGGAGACAGATGAGGCTTTCAGCTCCCATAAAGATTTGCAGCCTCGGAAACCCTGTACAGGGTCGCTATGAGTCGGAAGTGACTCCTCTGCACATAACCACCACCAATCTCAAAGCCCAGACATTCTACTGAAGGGTATCCACATATCACTTTCTGGTACTTGTTTCATGAGGCACCAGGTTCTAAAATAATTATCCCGCAAATGTTTAGCATTGGGCAAGAAACTGGCCTACTTCAGGTCTAAGTGCTGAACTGTCTGTAGCATCTGAAAGCACTACGAGATCAATGCACTCGTTTTTGAGGAATTCTGCGCCTAGTAGCTCTGAGAAGTAGCCCCCATCTCAAAACACTGCATTGAAAGCGGTCTAGGCATTGTAAATAAAGGTTCCATGTTGGTTCTATTGTTCTCCAGGAAAAGGAAGACATTAACATCAGTCTGAAAATCCAGCCATAACTTCTGTTGCAATATGGTTTAGGATAATCTCAGTGCACACCATTACCTGTTTGTTACATGTTAACTCCCACAACAAAGAATAGCCTTTGCCGAGTTTGCGTTCTAAGTCCCCGCCCCAAGACTTTGCCAACATTGTCAAAAAAATTAACATTAACCAAAATGCATATATATATTTTGACCAACCCCAAATTTTATTTATAAACCAGTTCGTAACTCCTAGATATGCTTTCTGAAACCTTAGCTACACCACAAAATCAGGCCTTTTGTACAGAAAATCGTTAAGAATGCTCATTCAGTATGGGAAAACCACCATGTCCGTCTCAAGGGCATACAACTAAGTTTCTGCCCAAACACTTTCAAAAGGGCTGTGGGGACTAATAAGCAAGGTAGCAGAAAAAGTAACAAGGATTACACAGAAGCATTCATTTTAAATGATTATTATTAGTGCAAGACTGGGTAGGGTAGAGGTGGTGGCGGGGCAGGATGATTTAATCAAAATTACAAAAACCTCCCACTGGGGGTAAAACAAATTAACAAGGCCGGGTTAAAGGGATCCAAGTTATACAGGAATAAATTTATCAAGAGGAGCACATGCTTAGGTTAATAAGCAAATCCTAGTTTCATAATTCTTTGTCATTCCAATCCTCCCCACACACGTCAGGGTAACCCAGAGGCAGAGACAGTGCAAAGCCAGAGCCAGTTAGTTCATCTTTACTTCCTCCGCCCACCAGCCCTGAAAGCCCTGGAGACAACAGGGCTAGGCTAGCCTGGAAGGAGAAGGCAGTCATCTCTCTTGCTCCATCCAGTTTTTTCACTTCCCAGAGACAAGGGTGGGGGGGTTTCAAACACCCCTGACTTCAACAAATTCACAGCCTGACAGAACTCTAGGAACCGGCATCCTTGGAAATGAAATCCACTATTCAAATGTGTTCAACACATCCCCCTTCCCACCCCCCTGCACAGAGGATCCTCGTGTGTCCATGTCGTGTTTTAAACGTACCAGAGTTCATCTAAAGCAATTCTACCAGGAAGACTTGTCAGGTAAAGTAGATGCCACTCCCCACCCCGATCTGTACATTGTAAATAGTGAATTTTTATTGAAGAAACAGCATACTAATCAAACCAATTACAACGATACATGGGGTCAAACCAAGAAAACATTTTCAGTGATGCTGACAATCCAAAATGCTTTCCGTTTTTTAAAATGCTATGGGGAAAATGCTCACGACGTAAAATGGGAAAAAAGATACAGTTCCATATATGTAGTAGGCTCTCCACTATAAAAGGATTGTATAGTTATACATTGGAAAAAAGCCTAGAAGAAAACGCACCCAACATTTCACTTAGTTGTATCTGTGTAGCAGGCTAACAACAGGTTGCTTTTCTTCATTTCCTTGAAGTTTTCAGAATAGCATTTATAAATCAGAAAACTAGTGGGGGGGGAGGGGGTTAAACCAGACACAAAACTGTTTCCTAGCTACCGG